GTGTGAGTGTGTGAGTGTGTGTCTCAAGGAATGCTGACAATTGGCATTCCTAAAATGTCACAACACTTGTGTAATGATCGTAGAAAGAAGAACACTTACTTTTATTGGCATCCCTGTGCAGTGCAGCCCAAATGGGAAAAGGCATTTTTTCCCTTTCAGAGACTGATAACCCACACCAAACTGCAAGAAAAAAATGAACAGCATCAACTCAGAGACCAGTGATAGTAGTTTGATATCTGCATTTCAAGCATCTGTCATACGTGCAGATGGACAAAGTAAATTTGAACACTTCCTGCTATTGTTTGCAAACTCACCTCACACTTTGACAAGCTGAACGTATGGCCAAGGTGCAATCTGCCATTCATGTACGGGTAGGGGAAGGTGACAAAGTACTTGTTTTTGCTGCAAGGAAAAACAATGTTTGAGAACGACATCTTAGGAATCAATGCTGAACTTACTTCTGCCAAGAAGATTTTCATCTGCGTTTGAAATTTGGTGGAAGGATGGGGCATTGGACAGGGAAGAAAATCTTTTGGCAGGGATCCAGATTGATATTGCCAGTTGCACTTATCTTCACCAATTTCCCAGGGAATCTTGATCTATCAGTGTGTGTAATTTTGTGTGGTTTAATTGAATGTAAGGAGACTGTTGGACCTAGGCGGAGGTATGCTAGCTACTGGGGGCCATTCTGGTTTTAATATTTAATCAGTCGTTAGCGGTATTGGCCCCCAAATATCTGTATCAGTCAGACTCTACTAGATACCCACAATTATACAAAGGCTTTTAACGATTTGTTGCAGTCGCAGTTGTATCAGATCAGTTCAAGTAAGATATTCCCATCAATATGAAATGCTTCCCTCAGAAATCCTCTTGCAGCTGAATACATGACAATACCTGGTTCAAGTGTGTGAAAGAAAAAAAACCACCTCTGGAATCAAACATAGGTTTCTTCTACATGACATTTCACTCACTGTGTACTTTCCCCAACTGTTGAGGGCGCATCCTGATCAAATGTCCTCTCCCTCTCCCACTTCTCCTGGATGTCAAGCTCGATCTTCCTCAAGAAGTCCAACTTTGCTGTTCCTTTCCGCTCCTGCAATAAAAACAACCAGAGACGAGAGAGTTCATTAGAGGAAAACTGCAGTGCGAGGATTCCTGCAAGTGAACTCACCACACATGCCACGACAGAAACAAATGCAGAGATAAATCACATTTTAATGGACATGTTAAGACACGAGAATTAACATGAATAGAGGACAGAAGACAAAAACATTAAACAGTTGATAACAGCTGTTTTATTTCCCGTCCAACTGAGTCAGTCTATTTCTGCAGTTGGCTCGACTAGCTCAACTAGCTTGTTAGCTAACTTAGCTAACAGCAACTTACTACACTGACATAACGTGTCTACTTCCTCTAAAAGCGCGCGTACCACTTTCTGCAGTTTGTAAATAGAGAATCGAACCTACCGTCATTTTGACCTAAGTTACCAGCGGGTTATTCCTCAGCTGCTTGAACAGCACAACTAGTTTTCAGGCTGACAGGCTGAACACACGCCACCGGTGCCTGGCTGACGACACCAAGGAGCACACTCTCGCGGGGGGTTGCTGGGAACTGTAGTCCGCTCGACTTTACGGGCGTCGCGTCACTCGGCGTTCGACAAATTAAACAACCTCGATTCTCGCGATGATGCGTGAACGAGCGGTGTTTCGTTGAACTCGCGACCACGCAGTAGCTCGTGCGATTAGAACGAAACGTGCGCGAACAAGAAAACACGCGAATGTAACGTGCGTCGTCAGGCCCGCGTTACGACAGCTCGCCCTGTGTTGCCATCGTTGCCGTAAAGCGCTTTGTCCCGACCTGCCAGTGAAGAGACCGAAGGCCTGGAAGCTTTTAAATTCATAGACGATGAGAGCAGACTCGTCCAAACGCACCTCCGTGTTATAGACAGTGTTGTAGTCCTTCTCACGATGATCATAGAGAATGTGGAAGCCTTGAAGTCGTGGCTTGCAAAACTCCTGGAGCCAATGTGAGTGTTGAAGCCGAATGACATTTAGCTCGCATGCTACGTAGCCACCGGGGGGAGGGGGTGGTGGTGGAGGGGTTTAGCTAGCTAGCTAGCCTGGCATCAATGGAGGCTGTGGCGAGGAGCTGATGGCAGATTCTTTACACGAGTTAGCGAGCAGCTTTTAGAAGCTAGCTGGACTCTCACATGGGGGGGGACATTTTTTTTTATCAAGCAAAGGAATGAAACGTGCAGCGTGTTTGTCAGTTTGGCTCAGTTATGGACGTAGTTGACTCACGATCATGTCACTTTATCACATCTCTGCAGCAAACAGATTCACTAACTAGCAGCTAACAGCTAAATGTGTTAAATTAAGATGTGGGGTGCTAAGATTAAAACAGATAAATAAGCACGAGTTGTTCCCTCTTTGAAGTTGTTCCCACTTTCACTCGATTTCCAATATGAACACAGCAAATGTTAAATGACTGATGGACGCAGTAGTCCCACACAGATGCACAGATGTTTGCATGTGTGCAGTAACCCTCGTGCAGTGGTAAACAGCTGATGCACTGACAGATAACACTGTTCCACACATTGATTCATGCTTCTGGATGTGCTGCCTGGCTGCTGCACTTTCTGCCACTTTGTGCTTCACGAGGTGCAGTTGGTTGAATATTGATGCTTTGACATCGTTAAGGTTGTGACTTCTCCATTATGATTAACTTGCCCTTTGTAGCAAAGCCTCAGGGAAGCCTTATTTGCAGCCCCTGCATTTGTGTCCCATTTCAGTTGCTAATTTGTGACTGAGCAGGGTTTTGTCTGATCGCTGTTTTTGGCCTTATTAGGGACTAACAAGCCCTTGTTGGTTAAGGTTAAATGGATGTGAAGGTAGATTTGAGGGGGGGGGGGGGGCAGCTGTATCTAAATTAGGAGGTAGTTGTTATGTAGTTAGTTATATGTTTGTGATATGTAATAGCCCCACCAATTGCAGGATATTTTTACAAAATTCAACAAGCAGGAATAGTTGGAAACTGGCACATCTGTGGCACACATTACATTTGGTTTAATAATACAATTGTATACATATTTCTCATCCAGTTTTGACTCCTCCTATTTTCTTCTCCTTTTGCATTTCATCATAACATCAAGATGCTGGCTTGCTGATTCTGACGCTTTTCTTTGCAGATGTGATGCTGACCCTTCTGCGTTAGCCAACTACGTGGTGGCTCTGGTGAAGAAGGACAAACCAGAGAAGGAGCTCAAAGCACTTTGTGCTGATCAGCTTGATGTCTTCCTACAAAAAGGTATGAACTCCACACAAAGCGCTTCTGCTTGTGTGATTACAAGCAGCCTGGAGTGTAGACCCTCACTCTTGCTGGTCAGCAGAGTTCCGCAGAAATGTTCCCTGCTGCAGAGAGGTCCACTTTCATCTTAATCCTATATATCACATAGACAGCAGAGATTTTAAAGTGATCACAAATCCTTTAGCAAGTGCAGCCAGTGGCCCCATAGAGTTAAACCCTGAGAGAAATTATTTCCTAACAGTGGCAAAATTCACAAGGATACAGTGTAAGTTAGAAAGCTTCTAACAGGACATGTCAATTGCAAGATTCATTTATACTTTTTGGGAAAAATGTTCATTCAGAAATATTTGTAATTACTGGCTTTCTTAGATAACCTAAACAAATTGAAGTCTCAAAATACAAAATGTTGCTCATTTAGCATCGTCATACTTAGCCAGTATGACACCGTTGTTTGCAATCATAACATCGTGTTAATGGATCCGATTTTTAAATGGTGAAATGTTCAAAGTGCTGTATAACTAACACTGTAATTTGAAATTTAATTCCTAACCATAAACTCAAGTTATGTATTCAGAGAGGCATAAGCTAGACTTCACCAGTCTCTACCTCTTGTAGCTCCACAATATGGCCACTAGAGGGCACGTTTTATCATTTGAAAGTACTCTCAATGCAATAAGCATCAACCTTCCTTAAATGGATTATATAATGAAGTGATCTCACTTCTTTTTTTTAATCGTATAATCGTACAATCACAGATGGACAATATTGTGTTTACTGGGTTTTTATTAGGTTGTTGATGGATACACATGTCAATTTGGGTCTGTGCCTTTGCGCCTGGATTTTTGTTATTATTCATTGACATTCAAACCATTTATCTTGAAGTGTAAAGGTTTTTAAAATTTAACAATCACAACTCCTTGTCTTAAGAATAACACACTAAAAGATTGCAGTCAAATAAATGGTTTGAAATAACTGCTTGAATATACTTTCAGTTATTTGTGGATTTCATTACTCCTTTATGTCCTTCTTTTCATTATGTAATGTTTTTAACAAGTAGTTTTTTCCCCATTCTGCCCCTCTGTATTGTTTCCGGGTATGTTATTCATTTGTGGTTAATTAGACTTTGGATATATTTAACGCAGCCAGAAGCGGAGAAATATGTGGTGTAGTATGATTCAGGAGGAATTTCAGTTCATTTCATGCCTGAGGGCCCATTTTCTCTTTGAGGGAGAATGATGGAAAAACTGCACACGATTGCAGTGAAGATTACATCTGTTCACACACAGTCATATTGTCATTGCAGAGACAACAGGATTTGTCGATAAACTTTTTGAATGCCTGACGACCAAGAACTACCTGGGAAGTCCCGCTGCCAAGGAGGCTCCTAAAGAGGAGGTCAAACCACCAGCAGTCAAGCCGGATGTTGTGGAGGTAAGAAAAGATGGAAGTGTTAAGTACATGTGATAAATTCTACATGGCATTATGTGTTATTAGATTTAGCACTCACTCAGATATTTTGACTTTATAACCAGTATTCTCTCTATATTGAATATGGTATTAAATCTCTTTCTATTTTCAAAGCATGAAACAGGAGAGTTTTTAAGTTGCAACTGTTTTTTTCCCTCAAGGCTGAAACACCAGAGGATGAGAGAGAAAACAGGTGGAGGAGAAGTCCTCTGAGAAATCGCTCTGACTTTGAGTCCAGGTATGGCTGTGGCTTCAGGGATCTGTTTCAGCTCGGCTTAATGACCAGGCACGAGTCACAAGCAGATATTATTCTGGCATGGAAATATACTCTCACTGATATCACTGATATTCCTTCCTGATACTAAAATGACCAGTAAACTTTCTTACTACTGAAATACTAAACCTAATTATTTTGCATGCTCTAGTTGTGTTGAGATAATAACACGTGGCTGTATTTACATGGTTAGTTTCAAATCCCATGAGTCCTCCTGGTACCTTGGTGAAAACCCTGGTGTCAAGTAGCCTGTCCCTTGTCTATAACACATCTTGTCCATAACAGAGAGGACAGTACAATAAGCATTATACTGTCATTCAAAACAGTAGCTTTTTCAGACTGTAGTTAGTTAAACATGTTCCTGCCACACACTCCTTTGACTTTCTCTTTTTTGAAACGTCTAAATGTTAAATTCACTGTGTTAAAGCTGTTGCTGATGAAACTCAACACTTCCTGTAGGTTTTAAATACTAAATAAAGGGATTATGCTACTAGAAATATTTTAATAGCTTTAATGGAGTTTTATTCACAGCAAGTAGCAGCAAATATTCTCAGTGCACTAGATTCTTTTTTTCTTTTCTCTTCTGTCTTGTCCTCACAAACATATGTAGAGCGTCTTTGGGTCCTGTGAAAGGCGCTATTTAAATTCAAGCCATTATTATTATTAACACCCACAATCCTGCTGAAATCCCCTTGCATTTAAAATGGGCATTCTAACTCACCAACCACACAGGAACCGTGATGACAGAAGGCGAGATGAGCGCAAGCGCCGCGACTTCGATAGGCACGGGAAAAGCAGCAGCGACTCCCACCGTGAGCGGGAGCGGCATGAACGCCGCAGGGGCAGCCCCCGGGGGAGGAGCTACAGCCGCAGCAGGAGCAGGAGTGGCAGTCGAGGAAAGAGCAGGGACCGGGAGCACAGAGGAGGCAGAGGTGAGAAAGTTCCCCCACCCCCTGCAACACCCACAACCAGTAACAACAGCACAGGGGTCAGACCCAGGAGTGTAGAAAGTTCCTGATGCTCATGTTGTCACAGTGCGTTAGTGATGCAGAGGGGTGCTGGAGACATCCTGGGTGTGAGCTTGAGAAGGAACTGAATGGAGATCTGGATGTAGCTGTGTCAGATTGTCAGTCAGTGTTGCTGGGTGTTTTTATCGATAAGAACAATGTGGATAGCTTTACAATCTGATCAATGGGATTTCAACAACACAGGCTGGAACTGGCCCTGTTACCTGCCAGGTAAGCATTTGGCATGATTAGAAAGGAGCTGTTTTTGAATTTTTTTTTAAAACATACAAGATTTAAATGTAGGTTTAAATGCTGTGGTCCACTGCTTTTGTAGAATATCTGTGTGGGTTTTGTTAAAGTACCTGTGTCTGTTTCTGCTCATCTTTTAACAGACTTTAAGTCAAAGTTTGAGGTGGAAAGAAAGGATACCGACGGCTACAACTCTTCAACCACGTCCGGCCCCCAGCAGCAGCACCCGCCGCCTCTCCTGCCCCTGCCCACACCTCCGCACCCCTTTTCCTCCTCTTCCTCATCGGCCGCTGGCGTCTCAGGAGCGGGAGGCGTTCCTGTAGCAACACTGGCTCACCTGCCTGATAGCACTACAGACAGCTGGTCTGGCTACTATGGCACCCAGAGGCCAGATGGTGTCGGGAAGCCATTCAGCAACAAGGGTGTTTCACTCAAACAGCGTTGCAGGGATTATGATGGTAGGAATAGAGTGAATTTGTTTATTCTGTTCTTTTATCAGTTACCTCATCTGTTATTACATTATCTCTGCATTGAAAACTAGCTTCACAGAGAAACATACATCCAAAAGAAAAGTGTTACACCTGTTCTTGTATATGACATGGACATTGTATGATATGTTGTGGCTACCTCTGTCTCCTTCCCATGAGGGTTATTGATTGCTTTGTTTAGTTCACTAATGACCACTGTTTAGCACTCCTTCTACTGTCCCCAGTGAAAAGCAAGAAAGTAAGCAGGGTTTAAACTTACCCACTGTCCCTGAAGCATACTGCTATCTGTCACAGTGCTCAAACACATTCATTAGAGACTGTGCCTTAATGAGACTGTGGGGTAAATACATGCACATCTTGTCTTCGCTGCTCAGAAGTTGGACAATTATACATCTCGTTTATTTCCTTCCATTGTTACTTATTTGTTCTTATTTTGAGATAAACATTATAATGTGAATCTAGACCACAGGAGCCCAGATCCATTAGAACAATGACATTTTTTTTCTCCACAGAAAAGGGATTTTGTGTCCGTGGTGACCTTTGTCCATTCGACCACGGCAACGACCCTCTCATAGTGGATGATGTCAATCTACCAAATATGATTCCGTTTCCACCCCCGCCTGTTATGCCCCCCGCTGGCCTGCCTATGCCCCCCGCTGGCCTGCCTATGCCCCCGATCACTGAGCCACCCCCTAACCTCAGGATACCTCCGATGCCTCCTTACGGCCAACCACCACCTCCGGGCGTCTTCCCAATAAATGGTGAGTGCTAACTTCACTGTGTTGCATTTAATGTTAACTTGTAGAAACTGCATATGCTCTGAATTTTGATGAGCGGTAGTGATTTCAAAGTAAAATACAGTTCAATTCAATTCAATTTTATTTATATAGCGCCAATTCATAATTTACATTATCTCAAGGCACTTTACATTTAAAGGTCAAGACCTTAAAACAATATTAACGTAGAGAAACCCAACAGTTCCCACAATGAGCAAGCACAGGCGACTGTGGAGAGGAAAAACTCCCTCAGTTATGAAAGCAACTTGTGGTTTCTGCAAAAAATTGCAGCCGGTGAAAAAAACAGTTTCTTATTCTTCTAAGTGTTGTTATACTAAGTGTATAATTATACTGAGCACTTTGTGACTGTTGATGTTTGCATGCATGCAAGGGAAGAAAGGGAAGAGACAGCTGTCTTCTTTTTTGCATTTCAAATTGATTGTGATGTGTTATGTTCTTATATAATAACCAAAGACTGGTTACCCTCCTATCTTGTTTTACTCTTGCTGGATGAAGAGAAGTTGAAGACAAAACAGATATTTCAGTCCAACATTATTTTCTTTAACAAAGCTGATTGGTGTGATGATACTGGTTCTTGGAGTGAAGTTTGTCTGTGAAGTGATTTGCTATAAATTAGAAGCAAAATATATAGCCTGTTGTAAAAGTTCAAGTGTTGTCACAGGAGTTTTAAATTCCTTCCACCTTCCCTGTCACATTAAAATAACCAGTGTAATAGTTCAAAGCAAAGACTCACTGTTATACCTGTGATATACCTGAGACATTAGCTTGGGCTTGTGTCTCCCTCAGGACCCCCACTGATAGCAACTAGTGGGATCGATACCCCCAACCACCAATCGGCAATCGCTTCTTCTCCTCCTATTGGACCGCCTGGTGTAGGACGGCCACCAACTCTTCCTCCTCCTCCTCCACCTCCTCCTCCTCCTTCATCCTCGTCTGTGTCTCTTCATCCCCAATATGTCCAGTCTGAATGTAAGCAGCAATGCTATTCCTATTCAGATTGGGGCTGTGTGCTTGGATGGGGACACTGCTGTGGCTTTTCATTTTGAGTTGACCTTTTATATCCCTTTATTTCTTTCTGTAATATTTATCGTCATCACAGTAGATTGAGTTCTAATGGAATGGCAGATCTGAGCGACATTTTGTGAACTTTGAGTTCTGGCTTTGAGTTTCTGTGTTTGTGTTTTCTGTCATTTTAAGATGGTCCGTGTGTGTAGTGTTCGGCACTTTGTGATTTCCTAGGATTTTTTTGTGCTGCAATAACAGCTGTTGACCAGAGGGTAGCACTGTTTATTTATCTAAGAGACTAGGTACTTTGTTGAATGCAAGAATAAGTCACTGATTACCAGACACTGTTTATTTAAAATGCTTGTTATTATTGTGTAATTGATTTGATGTTTTTTTATCGATTTTTGTGTTTGTTATTTTTGTGACTCTTTGTTTCATATCATAACTAACAGTCTGAGTGTGTGTATTTTCATTTTAACATCTTAGACAACTATGATCCAGAGGGCTACAACCCAGAATCCCCAGCCTTGACGGCAGCAGGTCGTAACCCGTACCGTCAGTTTATTCCCCGAGTGCAGACCCAGCGCTCCAACCTCATCGGCCTCACATCCAACGAAGGACAAGGATCCAGAGGTAGCAAGTATTCTCTGCACACAAAGTTTTATAATGTTGGACGGATACTTGTGTGATTAAAACACACATTTGCTGATTTGAAGATTTATATATTTTTTCTGTGCATGTGTGAACATCTTTCAGCTGCAAACATAGTGATTCAGACAGAGCCAGTCCCTGTAGCCAGTGCTCCCAGAACTAACGTGCCCAGTTTCAACGCCGAGCAGGAAAACAGGAAGAGAACCATGGGACATAATGCAGCTGAAGGACCAGCAGCTAAAAAACCCTGGATGGAGAAGTAAGGATTATGTGGCATATACACACACGCACACACAAGAAGAGTTCCCTGCTGAATAAGATCTGAAATTTGACATGGGGAAAAATTCATGAAGAAAAGAATAATCCCATATAATCCCTACTGCAGAAACCTGGCTTGCCCTGATCTTTGCCAATGTGTCAGTGTTCTCTGGCGCAACACTTCCTCTGCAGAGCATGTGCAACAGCAGAACGAGCAGGCATGGGAGGGATAGAGTGAGGGGAGGTTGTCCCCTAGTTAATTATTGATGGATGAGTCATCTCCAATGGATTAAAAGAATACTAAAAAATAGAATATGTTAGCAGTACCTTAATGACCTGGATACCTCAATGTGGGCATTGACACTTGATACCCTTACTGAACACGTTCTCGTTTTGTGAAGTCATCTGAAGAGAACTAGATGGCCACTTGAAATTTGATCAAACAAATTGACGCCTTGCCCCATTTCCCATCACCGCTGAGAGCCAAGTGACTCACAGGTCAGCAGCAGATCTTTTGATTCAGATGTGCAACAGGTGTGCACAGACGTCCTGTATGTCCAGGATGCATTTTGAGTGAAAAGCGGTTTACACACTCAACTGTCATAGAGCTTGTAGGAATTCAGTATGAAGTCTCGAACCTCCAGTTCATCAATGTGTGTTCTATTTAACTGACTATCATCATTAGTTAGTGATTATCTTGTCGTCTTTTTCCATTAATTTCCCCCAAAAAACAAATTTTCTCTCTGTTTCAGGACAAACTTTAACAATCAACATAAGAGCAGTTTCCCTAAGAGAAATCACTACGTGAACACCAAGCTGGAGGTGCGCAAGATCCCTCGAGAGCTCAACAATATCACCAAGCTCAATGAGCACTTCAGCAAGTTTGGAACCATTGTCAATATACAGGTAAAATACATCATTGTCTCCTCTGCAATGAATAAATCTGCAAAGGGCTGCTGTAATGAAGAAGTGCAGGCAAGATAAGTTATAAGTATTGGAATATATGCCTATTTGAATATATATTACAGTAAAAAAGGACTCATACTATTAGCTGCACATAGAGTGGAAATTTAAGTACACAAAGTTCAGCCGAGACTAATAATCAGTAATAATTTCGTCATTTACTAGCACCTAACCTGGATGTGATGCTCTGAATGCAGGTTGTGTTTGGTGGAGACCCAGAGGCAGCGCTGATTCAGTACACAAAGAATGAAGAAGCCAGACGGGCCATATCCAGCATCGAGGCGGTCCTCAACAACCGCTTCATCCGTGTGTACTGGCACCGCGAGCCCGGCACCAACCCAACAGGGCTTCAGCAGCTGGAGCAGAGCTCAGGGAGCCAAGTACCTGGTTCGACCCCCAGCCAGGGGCCGCAGCACAGCAACGTGCATAAGGTCAGTAAAAAGAGCTAAATCACATTAAAGCCTGAGGTCTTATGCCAATTCTCCAGTTTCCACATTTCTTAAGCCTTTCATCCAATTTAATTTTTTTTATTTAATTCTTTCATCTGCAGGGAATAAAACAGCACTGTCCAGCCGCCTATGTGTTGAACAAGACTGTACCAAAGCACCGCCTGGCAGCAGCGGCTGGGGCCACAGCTGCAACCAGGCCAGACAGCCTGAACCCAAACACAGATGCTGCCAATGTACGTAATAGTCCTTATGCATGAGCGTGTGTGTGTGTGTGATTGTGTCAGGTGATGCCAGACCCTGGTGAGATGTTGTGTAAACTAGTTGTTCGTGTTGAACAGTGTATTCTCATTTTTTTACTATGTATACCAATGTCTCTAATCTCATTCTGATGACCTAAAAGTGTCGCTCTCTCCGCGTGGCCACTTAGGTGGCGCCTGCACTGACAAACCCCCAGAAGAACCCCTACACTTCCACAGCCCTTAAGTTGTCCTCAAAGAGCCTTGGGAAAACGGGAAAAGCACTCGAAGCACAGGAAGTCCTCAAGAAGAAACAGGCATGTCACTTAATTTTTTACTACATATTTTGACTGCTACAAGAATAGAACAGCCAGGATTAGTCATTTGTTTTTCTCAGGGGCACTTAGTGAGAAGTGGGCTACCACTGAGAGAGAAAATGATAACAATAGCTGTGTATTTTCCACCTCTGTGAATGTGTATTTACTGTTTTTTTTATTTTTTATTTAGGAGGCATTCAAACTCCAGCAGGACATGAGAAAGAAGAAGCAGGAGATGTTGCAGACACAGATCGAGTGCCAGAAGGTACAACACCCCATTTATCTGAGCACTTCCTTACGTTTTCCTCGTCCTTTACTTTCTGTGTTCATGCCTTGCTTGTCTCTCAACTTGATCCTCCACATTTTCTCCCGCCCTTTCCTTTCCCTGTCCTTTACCCCTCCCTTTGTCTTACTGCTCATTCTTCCTCTTCCAGGCCCTGATAAACAGACTGGAGAAGAACCGAGGGATGAAACCTGAGGAAAGAGCCAACATCATGAAGACCTTGAAGGAGATGACAGACAAGATCACACAGCTGCAGAATGAGATGAATCCTGCCTCCCAGATCTCCAGCACCAAGTCCAACCACAATCAGTCCAAGACCAAGACTGATGTAAGTTTAGCCCAGAAACATGATGGAGTGCATCCTCTACCTTTTCAAACGGAGACTCGAACGGATTAAAACAAAGATTCCTCTGGTTAGATATCGAGGGCACAAAAGTTGATCTGATCATTTTCCACTTTATGTGCAAACCATGTTCTGTTTGCTGCCGCTGCTGTGGGTGTACTTCAAACGTTTTCATCACTTTATATCTGTATTTCATTTTCACGACATGTGACCAGGCCCAGAAGGAACTGCTGGATGCAGAGCTGGACTTTCACAAGAAAATGAGCTCTGGAGAGGACACGACAGACCTCAAGAGAAAACTGGGGCTGTTACAGGTGGAGGTAAAACAGATTCACATGTGCTACACAACTACAGACAAGATCTGAAAAGATAGCTCCAATTACCGTAGGCGGGCATCGTCAGCTATTGCCTCGAGTGCTGACGTTGTGATACCAGGAAATGCCACAGAGGAAGTCAGGAGATGCAAACAGATGATAAATAAAACCTGAAAAGTTAAGTAGGAAAGTACTGAATGACAATGCTCCCATCCATAGGGCGTCACTGAACGATTTAAGTATATCATATGCTATGACCTTTGCAGTCAATGTGAATGGAGTTTGTACATTTAGCTGATGCTGATTTTATTTTTTGGTTGGTTTGTTAATTTAATAGCAATATTACACAAAAATCGCTCAACAGATTTGCATGAAACATGATGGAAGGATGCAATATGGGTAATTCAATTTTGTTGCAGATTAATTTGAGAATAATTGATGGATCTTGATCCATCAGGCACGTTTAAGAAACAAATTTGTGTGAAATTTGGTGCAGCTGGATTGAATTTAAGGGCATTTTTGGGCCTTGGAGGAGGTACATGCTCTCTCCTGAGCGTTGTTCGAGTTAAATATAAAAATGCCGGAAGCTGCATTAAATCATAAAGGTATTGATGTATGTTACAAGTTGATTAATTATACTGAGCATTATGCAGTCACACAGCTTTTATTAGCTTGAATTCAAGTTCAGCGTCATTTATATCAAGGGAGGGAGAAATCCCCAGACGCTTTCTTTTCACATTAATTATGACATATGCAACTAATTAGGAAGTTTATATTTACAGTTCCTTATGAATCTGTTTTGCTTGCTCGTCAGGAAATCAAATGTAATTTTTTCCTAGTCCTAAGTGGCATCCATGTGTGTTACTCACGTCAGGCTCGGCCCACGTCTCCTCCAGCCTCTAAACAAGCAGCACATACAAACACAGAGGAGATCGGTCGTCTGTGTCACAAGATCAGCCTTACATGAGCAGAGCTTTTGTTAGCAACACCCATCATAGCATGTTTTTTTTCCCCCTCTACCCCCGCGGGTCCTAAATTAGCTTGTTGTTAAAAATGCATATCCCCCAATCCATCCACAGCAACCCCTCCTTCTGCACATTAAACCGCAGCCACTTAAGCAAGCCCAGAGGAGCAGGCGCTAACGAAGCCAAATCAGACACACGTCCAACACTGATGGAGCCGCGTCTCATTAATGTTTTAGCCGCTGGTCCTTGTAAGAAAATCGCGGAATGACAATTAGTAGGGAGAAATGAGGGAGGGACAAATGTAAGAGAGTGGTTGTGAGGTTGTGTAGTGGTTCAGAAGTGAGGAGATGTCACTTTAAAAATGGAGGAGTTACAACTAATGGTAAATGGCAGAGAGTGACAGTGGAGGAGACCAGAGTCAAGCGTGTTGGAAATATTTCATCTCAGAAGATAAATGTGCAATATTCTGCCTGTGCTGTGTGGGGGGCTCATTGTGATTTGTAGTTGTACAAATTAAGATAGGATTTTTTTTCATGCTGGATTTTAAATTTTTTGTTAAACACTAGAAAAATAAGCAGACTGTAGATATTTTGGTTCTCCAGTTCATGGGAGGAAATGAAGACTATCGTCCATCTTTATGTTCAGTCTATGTTGATTTCTGTATAAAATTAAACCTTCCTGTTTGTCTTCCTTTAGGCGACACGGTTGGGTCTGATACGGCCTCCAACAGGTCGAGGTCGGGGTCGAGGGAAGATGGCACTTGAGCCTGGCTCGATGCACGTGGGCCGGGGGAGGGGCCGAAGCCGGGAAATGATGGCTAGAGGCGGGGCCGTGAACCGTATGGTGGTCGACCACAGACCCAGAGCCCTGGCTATTTTGGGGGTTACTCAGCAGGAGAAGGAGGAGCTTATGCCGCACTTTGTGGTGAGTCACCATCTGTATTTAGTTGAAGAGTCACATCAGTAACTGATAAACTGGCGCCCACAGTTTTGAGATGAATGTTGAACAAGTCCTGAAGTTCACACCGATTCTTTTTGCTTTTCATCTTAGAAATTCGGGGAAATTGAGGATCTCCGTGACCAAGACGCTAACAGTGTCGTCATGACCTTTAAAACACGAAGCGAAGCAGAGAATGTAAGTCACATGGCTCCTATGTTATATTAATATATATATATATATATATATTATTACTTATATGGTAAAATTAAGAAACATTTTTGGTATAACTTGCCATTTTCCTCCTGTTTTGTTTTCTAGGCAGCTAACCAGGGAGCTAAGTTCAAAGGTCGAGTGCTGCAGATTTCCTGGTACAAACCCAAGACACCCTCTGTAAACACGGAGCCAGAGGAGGAAGAAGCTAAAGATGAGGACAATAAGGTACGACGCTGACGCATCACATACAAAACCAAACTCCTGATTTGTGATGATTTAGTAACGTGTAGCCTCAGAGAAACCAGCAAGCAAGTCCGTGTACAGTCCAACCTGAAATTGTAAGTAGGGAAACTTTTGGAAGTTTTAGTTATATTCACAGATTTTACTTGTACATTTTATTCTAGTGCTTCTAAATTTTTCACTGCTGCTCCCAATGGAAAATCAGGACGAGCCTCTAAGAGCATCTCAGCCCGTTGAGTAAAACTGCATTACTGTCAGATGAAATCCTCATACTGTATTTTCATGTTTTGAGTTGCGTTCATGAGGTCGGGGGTCTTCCTTGTGTGCAAGTTAAGTTTCATGTCCTCTATCCCGTCACTTAGCAATTCCTAACTTTTCTGATTCCTATGATAAATCACTGAACACATGTTTTTAATGCAAGGTGAGAAATTCCCTCTGACTGCTGATCCACTCAGAGACACTCGAGGCCCATCTCATTTCAATCCAACTTGTTCGGGAGTGTGAGGTTCATCATTAATTAAATATCTTCCAGAAACCCTCAGTAGGATGCTGCCAATTTTGCTTTGTTTTTGTGCTCCCCATTTTAATAGACTTTTCAATCTAATGCAACACTTTGTCTGTTTATTAGCAGGATTACACACAAACTACAGATTTGAAAATGAGTTTAATGTGAGCAGCTTGCAGAAGGTGTCTTTGTACATGTTTTATGTATCTAATCTCAATTCATGTATGTGAAATGTGGTGATGAAGTGGCCAATCGGCCCTGGCGGAGGGATGTGCTCTCTGGGTGCCCTTCTAGTCTTAGATCCAACAGAAATCAAGAACGTCGTTAATAATACAACCTCAAGACGTCACACAGAAACGAACACACGACTGTGGTTTCTAAGAGACTAGCCTGGGTTTGTCAGGTTGCACAGAGTAACACAACTGCACAGCTGTAAACACCATGATGTGTTTTTTTTAAAATCCAAACAGAAGGAGGCTGGCTCTTATTTGCCTGGTGAGGAAGAGGAGGAGGAGGAAGACGACGACGAAGACGACGAGTACGAAAGTCGATCATGGAGACGGTGAAGGCTACCTGATTCTCCTGTCACCTGCTGTTCAGCGAAATCAGTACCTCCCCTCACATGAAGATTAAATCAATACAACGGAACTCACATTTTTTTCCTTTCCAGTATTTTCAAACTAAGTAATTTTAAACTCTGATCAAAGTAAAAACATCTTTACTTTATTGTTCCTCGAAAGACGTTTAGGAGGTCGATGTTTTTTTGTATCCCTCGACTAAACAATTATTTAAAACATCTCACTTTTGCTGAGAAAGATAAATGTTAAGTTGTTCTTATAGATAGAAAAAAACCTATGTAAGTTGGAGTGTGCTTACCAGATGATTAATATCAGTAATGCACAACATTTGTGTCTACTGTGAATAGGTATTTTTATACATACTGTATTTAAGCTCTTTTCTCACCAGTTTTTTGAAAACCTTGTCCTCCGTTCAGGGACAGCCATTCCATCACCAATAGAACGTTCTCTGTCGCTGCCAGAGAGATACTTATTTATTTTTCTACTGTGCCGTACCTATATTGGCACAGTTTGGTATGGTTCTCATTTTCATTTCTTTTTTTTCCCCTCACGTTTTTCTGACACCGGCCTCTGTGCGCTGGCATGAACACAGTCTAGTTTGTGCATGTTGTATTCCTAAACAAACGGAGCCACTCCCTCCGAGCACCCAAAAGTGCTGATGCTGTACCATGACAATATTCGAGCCAGTGCAGGTGCAGCTGGATTCCAGTGCAATAGAAAAGAACTCAAAACAATGTTTACAAATTACCACGTCCATGCACGTCGCATACAGATTTCCCCCTTGTGTGTTTTGTTGTTCACTCAATGTCCGGTGCCACTCTGTGTAAATCCAAACACCATCAACGGGTGTTCTACATTTTCTAAGAGTGTCCAACATTTTCCACTTGTTCTGTTCTGTCACCAGGTCAACAAGAGGCCCTGACAGAACAAGGATCAGATCACCCATTTAAAAAAAATCTAATCAAATGTGAGATCCATAGACAGGTGTCTGAATGTAATACTG